TGTGTAAAATTTATAAAGTTGAATATGTTTTACAACGATGCCAAAAACTTAATGAGGTATTATATGAATAATAACGTTAAACACTTAATGTTAGGATTCTACACAAGTATACACATCGTTATCAAGTATTATAAGACTTTCTATTTAAATCTCAAATATCAATCCTACGAAGAATGTTTAAATTTGAAATGATAAATTAACTAGAAAATTCACAGAAATTAAACGAAATTACTGTCACTATTTTTGAATGTTTGAGATACTATCTGAACTAAATTATTAACTACTGGCAAAATTTAAATGCAAAGTTTAAAACAGTAACTACTAAATTATGTTTGTGTGATGAAGTTTTCTAACATGAAAAAACATCTTTCCCACTATAATAAATTTTTGGTGAAATAATATGAAATAATTGATTTAGATTTGTATTGTGTCTAATAGAAGCAATTATAATTCTCTACCCTGATTCAGTGTTATAGAAAATCATTGACTAATCATTGAGCTAATCTTAGGTTTAGTCCCTAAAACCATGATTAGGCTGGGAGGATACTGGCTGTCACTATAGAGCTCTCACTTCTCTTCACCTGAAGGCTAATGCTCACTTTAGTTATTAAACACTAAGACCAAATTGGGGATTTTAGTCTGTCACCCTAAAATCTCTAATTTTACACCCAACAATGTATTTTTCTTTATTTATTTGCACTTAATTGCATGAACAAAATACTCCTCCTTGGAATTAAATGTGATTCTCACTCTGTTGTAGAACTCATACTCCATTTCCATAATCATATGTTTCACAACATATTTTAACAATTCAATTGGTTAGATCAAAAATTAAATTAATAACGGAGTTGAAAAACCATCATAATTTATTTTATATTTTAACATTGACACATCCAAATCATCTCTTCATTTCACCATATCACAGAGTAGGGAGAAAGATAAAGGAAACTACTCAAGTTTCATGAGAAAGATACAACAAAATACAAATTTCAAATATAAAAGAAAGTTCATACAACAATAATAAACAAACAACACTTATCCAACACTTATCTTAAATCTTAAATTCTTTCTCAAAGCAAATCCCTTGTAGCCTCACTTAGGAAATGTAGGAAGAAGAAATCTCTCACTTTTCTCCCTCTCCAACACTCTTAGAGAAGAATTCACACAAACTCACCACTAAAACTCAAAACTTTAAATAAAATAAATGAATAATGGTGTGGAAGGCGTGTAAAGCGGTTGAAGAGTGCAAAGGGGTGCGAAGAAAGGTCGAAGGGGGGCTTTTCTATTCAATTTTGGCTCTAAATAGAGCCTAAGGTTGGTTTTCCAATAGGTGCATCCAAAAACTCTTCAAAAAGCATCAAAATTTGTTGAATCTTCTAGAAATAGGGCTTGCACCGACATTGGTGGTCATTTAATTAGACTGCGCTCACTGTCAAACTCCATTCTGGCACCGTCGGCGCTGAACATTTTTTCAAAAACTCCATTCCATTCTTTTGCTTCCTTTTTGCTCAAAGTCCTAAAAATCAACAACCTGTAAAAAAACATGAAAATACCTTCCTTTAAAGTGCAATGTCATAAAAAATGAGTATAAAATATGGGTCTAAAAATGCATATATTTTTGGTGTATCAAAATCCCCCAAACTTAAATGTTACTTGTCCTCAAGTAACTCCTTTACTACATAAAAATATAACTAATGGTACAGATTTTAACTTATAGATTTTAATATTTTAGTCCACTAAATACAATAGCATAACTTAGGAAAAATATAAAATAACTCCAATTAATATTAAATGTATAAGAATATCTAGTAGTCAAGTCTAAGATTTTTTATTCTCTATTCTTTTCAAGGAAAATTGCAAATTATTTATATTAAAGCCACTTAGAATATTCATATGAAAAAGAACTTGATAAAACTTTACTAGTAAATATGCTAATACTGAAATTTAAGTTCAGAAAATGTAGTCAAGCCATATTCTTTAAGTTGATTTAAGTGAAGCCAATTTTTAATTAGACATCTCCTTGAGCTTCTCCTCACATTTTTTTTTTCTTTCCTTTTCTCCTCACAATTTTTTTTTCTTTCCTTTTTTTTCTTTTTTTTTCTTTTTCAGGATCATTTTCAATCATTTTTCTTTTTTTTATATGTGAGGACTACTATATTTGGATAGCATTTAATGATTTTGAACTTCACTATCTTCTACTTAAAGTTAAAAACTTTTCACATTCATTCACTTTATAAATTGATATTGGCTTTAAGGATTTTTTATAAATTTTTATTCTTTTCTTCTTACATGAATCTATAAGATTTTTAATACTTCAAAAATACAAATTCATTTACTTACAATAGAAAAATATAGTCTTATTCTCTCACACCATATATCTTAATATCTAAAATTAACCTTTATTATTGAAAATTTCTACTTATTATTATTGAAAATTTTTAAAATTTTTACTTAATTTTACTATATGTTTAGAAACACAAATATAGTTATCTAAAGTTGATATTATCCCACGACCTAAATGTAAAGAAAAATGCATATATTTTTGGTGTTTCAGTAGTCATGATTCATGTGTACTTCAAAAGACATAAAACCCTGACCATTTAACCTTGGCTAACCCTCTTGTGACTCTTGTTGTTGATGTGAAGCCTACGTGATTGATATTGCCTTGACTGATATGTTTATAGTTTTGTTGTTGCTATTGTTGATGTTATTGAAAAGACTATTCAGGCTAAATTTGTAGTCATTATTTTTTTTTTCCTGCAGCTAATATTATCCCTGACTTCTTCTAAAATACATTATGTAGCTTTTGCCTGTCTGACTTTTCAAGAAGAAAAGTTGTTGGCTTTTTTAAAGCAACTTGACTGCCTTGCTAAAGAAAGTCTTTATATTAAACTATCTCTTTAGCAAAAACCTATTGGCCTGTGGATACTCTTGAAGAGAATTTCTATTGAATGTTGCTTTTGAAGCTACAATTTTCACTTCATGCTTAGATTCCTCCATCATAGAATGTAATCTATTAATTTTTTAAAAGATTTTTATATCTCAACAACCAAATTACTGATAATGATATGACATTGGGCATTAACAAACCTCTTAACAAACAGGTTCTTTAGTTCTATAAAAGTCTTGACTGAATTGTTTGGTAACACAATAAATTAGTTAAATGCCACTCTAGCCAAGCTACTGATAAATTGAATGAAAAGAAGAACATCTCTTTTCCCATCATTGCAATAATTGACTCAAAAATATGCAAGGTGTTGACAAGGGTTATTTGTTTCATCAGGAACGGGATACAAATCCCATAAAATATTTTACTACATCAAATATTTTAGGGTATGGTCTACCCTTCAGAATAGATGCACAACACTTTCTTGATATAATGCTCAATCATATACTTTTTTTCCTTTATTGTGGTCACTACCATCACTTTATTGGCATGCTTACTTTCCTCAATGATGGAAAGCTTGAATTTTGTTCTCAATTATTTGTCTAACCTTAGGTTGATTCACTTTAACGGGATATACCTGAGGCGACGATGATAAATTGTGCAGAATAATTAGAACGATCATCATCTCTTCAATCTTATTTTCAAAATGAGTGATATGCCTTTAATAATCGTTGAGCAGACTCGACCCGGTCTCCTCTTCATTTATGATTGACTGATGATCTCAGATAAATCACATATCTTTATGATATTTACAATTGCATGATCTTCTTCCGTGATTTCATCCAAGTCATCATAGCCTTCTTTGCAACCGTTTGCTGGGTGATTTCCTCAATCGCCGTTGAATTAGTCTCCTATTCATGACAATATCAAAAGAAAAAATTTCTCAGAATAATTATACGATTGTCAGTTCCCTCATTATAAATAATCTCTTTAGAAGAAGGCATTGAGACAAAGTAATTAAGCATTTACATGAGAGAACAAATATGCGACTTCCAACTGCATTTATTGCTTGATAAATTCACAAGACATTGCATAAAAAAAGATGATCTGATTGTAACTTACACCATCCAACATAACAACTTCCTCGCTCTCTATCTGAAGCAACACATCGCGGTCAGCGTAAGTTCTTCATATATAATAGCTATTAAGGAGGGTTTTTAGGAAACTACTTATGGGCTAGTTCAACTAAAATATATATATATTAAAAAAGTATTTAAGGGTTGGAGTATTTCTAATAAAGAGATAATCTAAGAAGCTCTTATTATAAAAAAAATGACAATTTTCAACAATGCAAATCTCCCAACTTTCGAAGTTTGCTAGCTTTTACTATTGTTAGGACTATATGGCTGAGCCCAATTGTAATAGACAAGCATTTTGTGGAGGCGGCATGGCAAAACCTTTTTTTTTAGTATATAAAGAATATAATGAATATATTTATTCAATTATAATCATTATGAGTCACATAAAATTAAATTATTTGGGTTACTATTTGCACAAAAGAATTAAGGAGAAAAGAATGATTTGCTTGCATACCACTCAAAATTTTTTTATTTATATATCTAACACCTAAATTTCAATTTTTATGGATATGCCATGCTTAATTTTAAAAGTTATGGTGAAAGTTTAATATAAAAAAAATTAGTAATTTAAACATAAAAATAAAATTTATATATATATAAAAAGATTTACTTTTTACATAAATATATATAACGCTGCATATTCAGATCAGTTGGTCGGACATCTTCTTATCAGTTGTAAGTTCCCTCTGATCTGGTCTGGGGTTCGAATCCCCCCATGCATAAGAGTGTGATACTTGAATTATATGCGCATGAGGGATAATCGGAGTCGTATTATATATATATATTATATTTACCTCATAAAAAAAATTCAATTTAGAGAGGAGTTCACATCCCAACTCGAATCGATAGGGTACCTCTGGATTCAGCGCGGCTGTTGCTAAGGAACCGCAACTACATCGCCCTAATAAATGATTGCCAAAATTACGTTATAATCATAAATCATAAATCATAAATCATAAAATACAAATATAACACGGAACATTCCTGCGCTTCTCCTTCCTCCTTCATCCGTCCTCCTCCTTTCTTTTGAGTCCTGCCTCCTTCCTCCTCTCTCTCTCTTTTTAGCAAGAAGAGAAACATGGTGGCGACGAGGAGTTCAATTTCTTCTAAGCGTTCTCATTCTTCTCCCTCCACATCTTCTTGTCCGAAATCCAAGCGCTCAAAGGTGCGATTTTTGTTTTGCCCGTCTTTTTTGGATTTCCATTTATGGGGGTTAATCCGTTTGATTGATTTAATTCGTATAGGGAGAGGAGGCGGCAGCCTCGTCGTCGGAGGATCGCGCGAATACGAAGGAGCTCGCGGTGACTTGCGATGCGAGTCAGCCAACTGGAGATCTGGATGTAGATCTCCTTGTTGATGCTTCTGCTAATCCAGAGGATAAGCGGGCAGAGGGCGGCTCGGAAGAGAGTTCTACAATTAATTTTTCTTCAAGAGGTCTCATCTCTTAGTTACCCTAAGTTGCATGCTTCTGCTTTTTCGGCGGATTTTGTTGTTTCTGGTTTTATTTCCAATATGTTTTTGCCTCCTGATGATTGCTGCTGAAAATTGAGTGATTTCTGATTCTTGGAATTTGGGATGTGGCAGAGACGGAGCAATTGATGAAGATGCTGCCTGCCTTGGAACTGCCGACGATGAAAGGGAAGGCCTGGCCGCAGAAGGCAGCCTGGGCCAAGCTCATATCGCAATGCTCCCAGGTTCTTAATTTTTAATTTATTTACATTGTTTCTTTTGTTTTGCATCAACATAGCTCTGATATTGAGTGTGTCTGTTCTGTAGGGTTTTCAGATATCCCATTCATGTTTTTATGCTTCATTTCTTTCTGTAATTAATTAGATTTTTTTCATCTTTCATCTGGAAATCTGACCTTAGACTGTAAATTGCTTTTTGTCCATTTAAGACATGACATTTATGGCTGTATGGCTCTGACTGCAACTCTGATTTATGGAGACGGGTTACTCTCTGTCTTGATTCACTTATGAGCTGACTTCAAGCTCGATTGTAGCATGGTTTAGTTAGTGAAGAAACTTTTGTAAATAGTTGTAGTGTCTCAATATTCTTCTTCAACTGCTCCAGGGCTAGGAAATAGAGGAAGGAAATTGTGGATACTACGCACAAATTGATTACTTTTGTACAATCAAGTTTTGGTTGACATGTAGCAACATTATATAAGTTGGTTATCTGAAAATTAGTATTTTGGATTTTAGAGATCTAAAATACACTTGATTTAGATTTGAAAAGTGATTTTAAATAATCCTTCATTTTAGAAGAATTTTGGGAAATTGTTACAGAGTATTTTTAGGAGTTTTTTTAAGAAAGGTTTAATTTAAGGGGTTTGTTATGTTTGATTAAGATTTCAATTATGAAGTGCGATTAAAATGATTTTTAGGAGATGAGGGGATTGGTTACCACAATAAATGCAATGCAAATCTTTAACAATAAAAGCGATGAACTGAGTGTTGGTGTGAGAAAGGAGGGTTGTGGGCCTGAGTTAAACATTGAGGAAATGTTTTTGCATTTATTTGACTAGGGTTTTAACATTTGAGTAGGTGAGGTATGAGCATGTTTGACATCGATCTTGGGTTCCTAGACAACGAGGAAAGATCAAGGCACATGCTAGGAGAGCTGTAAGACAAGAAATGCATGAGGAAACAATGATGGCGGTCGAGAATCCAATGCAATCGATAGCTGGACAACAACCGGATGGCAAAAACAGTGAGAAAAGGCTAATGGCATAGGAGCTCTTCGGATGCCTGTGAGAGTTCACTACCTAGATCCAATTAGGTAACATGCACACTACCTAAGAGTAGTAAATGATGCAATAATCCAATAAGCGGAAAACTAGAGAAAACAATCTCTAATGCGTAAACCAAAATTAAAAGTGTTCAAACATAAGTTAGTAACATTTTTAAATATTCTAAAGAAAAATAACTATAATTTCCCTAAATAAGGTAAATAGGACTTGTAAGGGGCTGACCAGCCCATGGGAGCCGTGATTGCTTGATCGATCCCTTACTGGAGAGCCACTTTGTATGAACGCTTATTACCTCAGAATTCTTCCAAGATAAGACTATGATGCACTTCCCATGATTAGTGAAGAAATGGGTTTTGTAGTCTTCATGAAACATGCAATTGCTGTATTGTCAAGGAAGACTTAATAGGAAGTGATGAGCATCCCGCATCATACCACACATGCTCCTAGGACTTATCTCCAATAGATAACTCAATTAGGTATCACCTATCAACAATGATCTATTCCTCACACTTCAACCATGTCAGGGAATTTGATTGGGTGTGTTTTTGTGTGACAAGACTCATTTTATTTGCCATTTTGATAGGCATCAAATTCTCATTATTGCATCCTTCAATGATAAGATTGTTTCTTTCATATTGTCACGGGTACAAAATATGTTGTTGCAAACACACTGTTGGTGTCGCTTGGGCTCATTCTGAAGGATCCATCAAAACACTAACATCTTTGCTTTGTAGTCACGAAGCTGATACTTTTATCTATCATGCTCATTTTTGGCTGTCATGAGTGTCACTGTTTAATGCTATTGTTGCGCCCTTAATGAAACTGATCACTACTGTGTTTGGACAATTAGATACTGTTTGTACAAAATTATGACATTTTGAGTACTTACTAGCTGGAAGGACTTGGTTATGCTATGTCCACCCTCATTTTCTTCACCGAGTATTGATCTCACATCACATGGGGCTAATTTGAGTGCTTTGGCACGTGTACTCTTGTTGTTTAACCCTAGGTTTAAGCCTTATTTGTTGGGTGTGGCAACTCCCATGTGACAATGTTGTTTCTCTGCTTTCAATATTAGGGTTGTTGATTAAGTGGGAACCAATGCTATTATAATTGTACCACATCGCTAATAAATGACTTCAGTTCTTCAAGATAAATTACAACAAGTAGCTCATTTAGTTAAAAAATCTCGCATTTCAGCATGAGTTATTTAAATTCAGCTATGTTCTTTCCCAGATAAATCTTTAAGAACATACCATGTAGATAATGTAGGGGTAGGTATTTATGCTGCATTTTTCTCTTCATCCTAAACCACATAGTGATCTACTATTTTTTTTTTGTTCTCGGAGACTCTTTCAGATTTTCTTATTGCAAAGAACCACTCTTTTTAAGTTTGATGACTATTAGTTTGATTCTCTTATATTATGGAACACTTTTGTAACTAAATAATCATTTCATAGTCTTGAGCTATTCATTGAACTCATCCGGGTTCACATGTCTGTTAAAATGTGTAAATTTGATCTTCACCCCAAAAGGCATTGCCTTTCTTTGATATTCAATGCCAAATTGTCGGGGCATGGTTCTTCTTTATTGAAAACTCTATGGTGAAGAGATTAATCTCCTTCTATCGACTCAGTGAGTGATCATTAAGATTGTAGGTGATCTCTCTGGATTATTTTCTTTTAAATTTGGCAAGCCTATGTGTAGCTGGAGAATTTTCCTATGCATATTCTTCATCATGAGTATTTTGACACCCCTTTGTGTCTTTCTACTTGGCGGTATGGTGTTTCTTTCCCCAACTAGGGTTTCAGAGAATTTTTTGTGGCTGAAGCAATTTGGGATTAAGGATAGAGTTAGGAAATAGGCATTTCGTTGGGTAAATCAACTGGGTTATCTGGTTTTTTAGGCTTAGAAGTATGGAAAGATAAATCCCTAAAGATTTATGGTTTGGATGACTTTGATACAAAATGACCCGGATCTAGGATTTCTGGACGGTTTGAGAAGATCAAGGGATGGGTTAAGAGAGCTTTAGGATAAGAAATGAAGGGGAAGCAACAATGGTGACGTAGAATATGTCATAACTAGCAATCGGAAAACAACGGGGTCGGCAGCAAGGGCTGCAGTTGTAAGTTGTCTTGTGACGTTTGAGAGAGTTCATCGCCTAGATCTAATTATGTTACAAGCACATCATCTGAGAGGGGCAAATGATTCAACATTATGATAAAGGGTAAACTAGAGAAAACAATCTCTAATGCATAAACCAAAACAAAAGTGTTAAAAATAGAAGTTAACAATGTAATGAAATGTCCCATAGCACAATTACCCTAATTAATAACTTAAATAATGTAAATAGGATCCCTAAAGGGGCACGACAAGCCCATGTGGGTTGGGAGTACTTGAACTGGTCCCTCTTTGGGCTGTTTCCCTATTTCGGGTCCTCTTAGTGGTGGATAGCGGGATACCAACATCAATGTAGGCATTGAGATGCGAATAAATCCACCAACAACTTAAAAATGAAAAACTATTTGCAAATACAATCAAGAATTTCATGGATGCCTTGGAAGTCATCTTTAGTGTAACAATGGTCTCACCTTGTTAAATTTTTTATGATGATTCACTGGTCTGAAGCTGGGCTTTGGCACCAATTGTTGTAGAGGGATGCATGGAGAGATTTGTGAAATTTGTGAATCAGGGAGGGAGAAGTCCGAGAATGATCAAACATATGGAGGGATGCATGGAGAGATTTGTATCTCTCTCTCTATATGTGTGTGTGTGTATATGTTTATTTATTTATATACACACACACACAATTATACATAATATAATAAGCTCAAGGGCTATTATATTAAAGAGGAAATGATACAGATAAGGTGTATGAGTGAGCTCAAAAGTAGGCGCCAAACTCACACAGTACAACACACAAAAAAAAAACTCAAAACAAGAGATGGTACATATAAAGTAAAAAAAAAAAAAAAAAAAAAACTCAAACCACCAAGGCGTGGAAGTAGTTAGGGACAACTCAATTTAGTCCTGCCTTTGCCTCTAGTTTTCGGAAGGGAGCCGACTAACAAATTAGTGAGGTGCATACCATTACCCGAAGTAACCAATGTATTATCCATTAGATTTCTTAGCTCAAGTAGATCTCCATTCTTCTTCTTCTTCTTCCTGGAAGTGTAAACCTGACATTCTTCATTCGAAGATTGATTATTTAGATGAGGTGGTAAAGCTGTAGCAGAAGGATTGCCAACTGTTGTATGCATAATGACTTCTAGTATATGTGAAGTATGAGTTGTCACCTCTACACCGGATACTTCCTGAATATGGAGAGCTACAAGGTTCTTCTAATTATCCGTCCGAACACTATACTATGCGGTAATTCAATATAGTTTTCAATAGAGTTTGAAGGTGTAGGTTGCCCAACAGAGCCATCCTACATCACATCAATCGCAGAAACAATAACAATATTGTCAGGGGGTCCACAGGAGCAATTAGATCAGTCACCAAATCCTGTATTATGATAGTTTCCTCCCCAGGTGGAGCAGAGCTGTCCAGAGCAGTGTGGTTAGACCCCTCCTTATTCACTTGAACTTTAGATTTCAAATTAGGATAAAGCTTGTGACATTTATCAAGGGTATGCCCAAACTTCTTCAATGGGTACAATAAGGAGGTTTGTTTTCCACGACGATTTGTTGCCAATATTCATTATGAGTTGTGCCCAACCAGACTTAAGTAATATAATGTAATGTAATATCCCTTTCCGCAAGTATTCTGGCCACTATGGGTAGATCTAGCTTCATAGGGTCTCCAAGTATGACCCCAATAGAGTAGAGAACATGATGATTAAAAAAAATGCAGCTTAAGACCAGGTAGACTAAACCATACCGGTATAGTGAGAGTTTCACGATTTAGGTCAAAATCAGGAGACCACTTGAGTAACTTCATTGACTTGCCTGCAATATTAAGATATTTTTTTAGAGAAAATCCGGGTGTAGTTTTCAGCCATGGTTAGTTGAATCAGCACTGTCTCCCATCCATGAGTCCCACTTTCCACTTCTTAAAAAAGGGCAATCATGTGTATCATCACGACAATCCTTATAGCTTGAGGGGAAGACAACCGCTGGCTCCACTTGAGGATTACCCACCACGTGGGCAAAGTAGGCTTTGCCAGTTTCAGAAGAAGGAGAGAGCGCCATCAAATCTGTCAGCACCTCCTACTGCAAAGCTGTCGACGTTGAAACATAAAACAGAAATGACGTAGAGGTGGGAGAGAGCTGTCGAGCTGGGTCAGTCGTGGCGCAACTGTCGAGCTGGTCGGAAGCCCTTTATCCTGCAACGAAGCACCGCAAAAGACGAGCCAGACGAAACAACGCACAATCGCTGCAAAACGAAGCAGACGCGCGAGCTCTTCAACCAGGTGAAGCCGATGACGAAGGTGAAGCAGAGGAAATTAGAGTACGGCGCGAGTGTGTGTGTGTGTGTCTAAACCCTATATATATATGTTTGTATGTATGCATGTATACATATGCGCGCGCGCACACACACATATATATATATATATCTATAAATCTAATACACACGAAATGATCATAACAAAATATAGGATTTATAAAACATTTTTAAACGTTTTTGTGATGTGTGAAAATTGAGGGATAAAAAAGTCAAGATTTTTAGCCTTTTTATTTTTCATAAAGCTTTCAATATTACACAAGATGCTCTATTTTGCACTTCTTTTTCAGAATATATTTCTCTGGATAATTGTATCAATAATGTAGGAATCAGTGGTTTTGTTGGAAATTATGTTTCCTTGCTGCAGAGGGAGGCATTGATTGAAGGAGTCTAAAAGTTCTTATTAATCTTTAAGTTTAGAGCGCAGGAAAGCCTTTGACTTATTTTATGTAAAACAAGTATTATATATGGGTACTCCCTGCTCTGGTCAAGGTTAATTAGATGATTCAATTGGAAGGGTCAATTTCTATTAGCGAGGATGCTTCACAATTGGTTTGCTCAGCATTGTGTACGTGGAAAGGTTTTTTATTTTTTTTATGGCTGGTTTTATGAAGGTTCAGTGGTTCCAATATATCCTGAGATGACTCACAACGCATCTAAATCGGTTGAATATGTTTTGGAAGTAGAATGTAAATAAGCTGAGAAGAATTTTACCTGATCAGGTTATGCAGCAAATAACGATAGTTCCAGTACAACTATCTAACTGGATGCTGTTCCACTTGAAGGAACTACAAATGCTATGTTTCACTTGAATAAGGTATGCGAGAAGATCAAAACTTGAGTCAACATTCCAGTAGCTGAAGTTCCATTGCATCAAAGTATACCAATTTGTCTCATTTTTTGTTGATGGTTGTTGAAGGATGCAATGATTGTGGTACAATATTTTACAAGTTTTGGATTTTACATGGCGTCCAAGGGATGTTGTTGTGAAGAAAAAACATTGAGTTAATTATTATTTATAAATAATCCAGCCTTAACTCAGAGTTATGGGTTCCCAGTCCATCTGAAATTTACTATTTTGAATGTGTGGAGATATTCGTGAAATTGTAGAAATGTTGCTAGGTGTAAGGGAATGAATTTCATTGTCAAAAGGATAGCATGGAAAGAGTAATTTTGCTAGAGCTCATTTGGGATGATAATATGATGGAAGATAAATCCTTTAAAGAAAAGGAATCGTATTTTTACAAATTGAACCCCTGAAGCTAAGGAAATTCATGGTGAGAATAGAAATAGTGTGATGTTTGATTGGGAAGGAAGGGGAGGTTAATTGAATGTAAATTTCTGTGCAAGGCAATTCTAGGGAGACTGCCAGTGGTGAATTTACTTAGAGATAATGAAGCTAGAATTCATCCTTGCTTTCTATGATTATTTTATTGTCAAAACTTCTATATTTATTGAAATTTATGTGCTCTTATGGATTCAAACATAGGTGGCAATATAGATTTAAAAATTATGCGTAGAGGGAATGCATTATTTTTTAAAACAACTGGTGTGGAGTGGCAAACATGTTGATGAGGGAGGAAGGAAGGTAGGGTTTGATAAGGTTAATAAGGCAATGTTTGACTAAGGCAATGTCTGACTATGTTTCAATAAAATGTGACATATTTCGAAGGAAGGTAGTGCAATTTCAAATTGGCTGGTTAATGAAGGGTATAAAGTTGAAGGCTTCTTTGATTTTCAGTCTTAGGATATTCAAAGAAAGTTGGTTGAAATTTTTAGATTGGATTGATGGAAGTATTCTAATATCTGGTGCTAATGGATGCTGCAGTGTCGTTGATAGTAATTATGTTGAAGGCTTTTTATTTAGTTGAACGTGTAGTTATTTTACTTTTTATTTGCACACATGTTGTGTTGACTTCTTGTAATGACTTTTTTAAATGGAATAAATGTTAGAGCTTTTCCACGGAATTTTTTTGGTTGAATGTGTAGTTATTTTACTTTTATTTGCACAAATATTTCTTTTTTGGATTTTGTTGGTAACTTTTTGTTGTAATGACTCTTTTTGATGGAATAAACCATGGATGTTTGCCACAATAGATGGATTTAGAGAACAAGGGTTTATGATTAATTGATCTCTCAAAGTTGAGGTTGTTTAAGTCTTTACTTCTCAAAGCAAGGGCATACTTTTTTTACTGAAATTTGTTTATTGATGATCATAAATCCTCTTACCGTGCTAAAATCTTGATAATTTTGATTATATGATGAATTTCTTCCATTGGATACATTGCATGATATAGTTCCCAACTTTTTTTAAAATATTGTATTCTCATAAAATCTAGTTGAGCTAAGTTCGAGTTAAAGAATCATTTCCTCATTTTATTGTGGATTTTTTTCGTTATACTGTTTAAGTGGCGGACATGGTTGGAGGTTCTTGTTTTATCATCAATGCTATGCTAAACTGGTCTTGTAGTGATATTCAAGGGGCAAAACCACAATATATTGTCTTTACTAATTCTAATGGAGGGACATAAGGCTCGAATGACTCCTTGAAAATGTAGGTGATTGTTCTTTAAAGCTACCATCTTCTTTATCTTTGTTTTATTACGGTAGGAGACATTTTGGGAAATGTTGAAATTTATGGTAGGAGGCACTTTGTGAGAAATCTGGATGCGAGTGTTATTTGTGTTAATATATACTTGGTAATTGATGCCTTTATTACAATGACAGCAAAGGTATTGGGTGGCTTTCTTAGAAAATAAGAATTTTAGGGAATAACTTTTAACTGACTATAGTATAAAATATTTGCAGCATTGTAGCAAAACTGACTATAGTATAAAATATTTGCAGCATTGTAGCAAAAGTTGTGTCAGAAGAGAAGAGTTGAATAATCGTCATCATCTTTATCATCATCTTTTGCCTTATCCAAATTATTTTGATCCATAGTTGTAATTCATTTCTTTGCATTTGATGTAAGTTTGCTGTTAAACTCACATTAGCACTAAATTGTACTCATTCAGACTTAAAACTAGGCATGTCATTGATTTGTAGTTATCGCTTCACCTTTCAATAATTATTTAAATCTATAAAAAAACACCTTTAAGATTTATGAACCTTTTAAATGGCAACATGCTGGCTAATGCTGTTACTAGTGGAGGCTGAACTGATGTCAGTCATCACCAGACGAGTTACAGATGCAAAGTTTAACAGAAAAAAAATGGGAGAGAGAATTTAGAATGGCTCTTCTTTGTTTCTTTTTTTTGTTGCTTGTTTTGGTTGAGATAGTTAGATAAAATCTTGTGAATTTTTTGCTTCTGCATGTTCATTTATGGTTCTTTACTCAGATTGACTTTAATGTGAATTTCCTTTTACTGGGGGTTTCTTTCTTGGAATATTTTCTTAGAAAATTTACGTTTTGTTTTGGTGGAATTAGTTGGGAAATAATTGTGAAATCTATTATTTTCTGTATTAAATTTCTTAGAGTTATTTACGCCGCAGTGTTATATGATGAAATTAGACAACATTGTTTCAGAATTTCTTAGTTTTTCCATCTATGCTTTGCAGAGAAGTGAATTGATGACCCTTTCTTTGGTTTTGCATTGCATACCTTTTTGTTGAATTACCAACATGTTCTATTTGTATCCCATTTTTAAGGTCTTTCAGCTCCCTGTTTTAGAGTAGATTTATCTGTAAAGGAAAAAATATAGACGTGAATGTTTAGGAAATTTAAAAGAAATTGAATTGATGGGCATGAAGATAATTTTTATATATCCACTTTTGATCATGTATCTTTTGTAATTATTTGATTTGTTACGTTCCTATATCTGGATGTTTATATCAGACATTCATCTATTTTCACATCTGATTGAAAAAATTTAGTTGGCTTTTCTAGCAACTATGTTGGAAATCACTCTTGTCATTACTTTCAACTCTTATTTCTCTCTCGTAGGGTGTAATTGTGAATGGAATTCAATATGGAAGCAAATCTGGGGATGCATCAACTTTCGCCGGAGCATCCATACTTGCCTCCTTATCTAATCCGAGAAAGGGCGAGGTCACTCGAACTTCCCCAGCATTTAATGGAGAAAATGAACTGGAAAGAGTTGAAACTGCTGCTTTGACTTCTGCTCCCATTGCATCAGGCTCCATTCCAGGATCTGATTGTGATTTCCATTTGAGGGATAGTACTGACCAGAATGTGGTTGCTATTGCTGATGGAAATAAGGCTACTGCTGTTGTTCCTGTTGATATCGCTTCTACCTTGGGCGTTGATGCTTATTTCGATGCAGAATTGGTGAAAAGACCTGGCCCAAATATGGAGTTAAGGCCACGTCTACGAATGCTTGAAAAATCTTCTAAGGCTGAACTGGATTTGAGCGGTAATCTATTCAGAACTTCTGAAGTTCAGAGGGAGCTCCAGAAGGATGTTTTAGGTTCAACAGCGAATTTAATCAGTTCCAGATCCCAAAAATTCAAGGAGCAGCTTAAACATGGAATTCTTAGCTCTCGTGAACAAGTTTCTTTTGAAAATTTTCCTTACTTTCTGAGGTGATATTTATTTTAAAATTTGCTTTTTTTCTTTTTCCGTCATATTTCACCTCCTTTCTTTGTTAGCCATTAGTCATGTTTGGCGTACGGGACATTTTTATTTGCTATATTTACTTTTTTATTTCTTGGAATTTTAGTTTCTTCAATACCTTTGCCTTTTACTTGTTTTCTGTATCTAATGTTTGCCGTCTGTATTTTATTATCGCAATAATGATGTCTAGGTTCAGCTTTTTCAATACAACAAGGGAAATTAACTAGAATTGCTGGAGTGTAAATGAAAATGCAGAATATCAAATACATAAAGGACTGAATGGTAAAGAAGTATCTAATAGCATGGGAGAATAACAAAGGAGACTAAAATCTCAATTAGATCACTTGGAGTTTTGTGAAAGCAGGATAATGATACAACAACAACAACAACAACAAAACCTTTATCTCACTGAGTGGGGTCGGCTACATGAATCCTTTTTCTCCATTGCGTTTTATTTAGTGTTTACACAATGATCAGAATGATTCATGTCATAATTTTTTTGACAAGTTTTTCGTTAGCTATCGACTACCTAACGCAACCCTCCACTTTTCACATCCGGGCTTTGGACTGACAATGACAGTGTTAAAAGCAAGATAATAATGATATATTTAATTTTGATTATGTTCCAGTCAGGTTAAAAGTATTTATAACCTTCATCAACCAGCTTGTCGTCACCCATATTGCTCTCATTAAATTTTTTTGATTCTTGAACAGCATGATCATATGCATCTTCACTAATGTGAGGAAGGGGGGAAATAGCCATAAATCGATATTCAAAATCATTGATAGCATAAGATGTGGAAGACACGTGAATAGGGCTATCGTGGATGAAACCTTAAAGCACTGAAAAATTTTGCTCAAATATTTTACAAAAGGGACAATGTGCAAGCATCAAATAATTCTTTCAGCCAATAACCACAAGACTTTGAGTTAATCCATAGCTCCTTTTTTCAATGGTAAACTAAGGACCATTTAACCAAAATTCAGCCAACGTAAGTCCTCAGAAGTTGTGCTGAGGACCATTTTGGATCAATTTTGTATAGTTGATGGAATAAATTGGAGAAATGTGAAACTTTGGGGGGTTAAATCGACCACATATTGAATAATCAGGGAATTATTTTTGTGTTTAACTTTTGTAGATATGTATGATGATGCATTGAATAATATTAGAGGTAGTAGCAGAATGATTACAAAGTTTTTCATTACATCAGGGATCAACTTCCACTCTATATCTATCTTATTGGAACGGAGATTTTTTACAAATGATATTCAAATTAGGGTGCATTGGTCCATGTTTTTTTCCTATGACAGCTGTAATCAGGGATACTTAATTTGAAATGTGGAAAGTTAAAAATTTGAAAAACAAGAGAGAATAATTGACAGTGTTAGGAGGGACCTTTTCATAAATAATTAATTATTAGATGACATCTTTTCTTTTATTTTCTCTTTAAAGGGTAATTTAGTAATTAAATGATCTAAGAATTATTTGGGTTAGCTTGCCTATAAATATAACTTCCTTTGGAGAGAATGGGGGTTCTTTTGGAGAACTTTACTTGAAGTTTTCCTTTGTTGCAGGGAGGATTCCATTTCCTGGTTTGGGGTAAATTCCCCAAGCTAGGAGAGGTGAGAAGGCTAGGGATCATAGCAACTTCTTTACCTACAAACTCTAGCTTGGCCCTATCGTCGCAATTTCAAGGGCCTCTCTACCAATTTGTTGCAGCAAGACATCTAAAACAGTGCTAGAAAAATTCATTCAAGAAGACCGGTGGTCATGGTGGAATCCAAGATTCCGCCAAAATTGATGTGGACACTCAAAAGTTATCTTCTGGTGGCTGTCCCATACAAGCTACAGCAGAATCTAGCTCTGGAATGGTTCCCAATCCTTGCATTGTGGCATGAAGAGCCTTTGGAGGGCTGTCCATGAGTCCCGTAGAAATTATTCCATAGCAACAGCTGTTTGGATTTTATTCCATGGATTGGTGGAAGTTGGATAATCCAAACAGGAAAGAAGTTAAGAATTATGATTGCAATCAAGAACGACTACTTGAGGTTGAAATATAGTCTTTCTGGTTGTTGGAAACGTGCAATCTATACTGAATTCCAACAAGAATCTTTTTCCTGTAGCTGACCGATTTCTCCCTGGCTGTTTGTTGGAAGACTGCAGCCTGACAAAAGTCCATCTAGAGTTTATTTTATTTTTTAAATAACTTTATCTATTTTAGTCTTGTATTGGTGTCAATAATGAGCTTTGAAGTATTAAAACAAATGCAAAGTATATGATATCAATTTTAAATCGGTTTGAGATGATAATGTTATACCCAGGTGTGAAAAGTTCAAATCCATTGGCTCTATTACATAGAGGAGTGAGGATATTGATAATGATATAGATTATTGAGTTATGAATGGATGGTTAAAGTGGCGAAATGCATTTTATGTCATGGGAAAAGATGGTACTATGGATGCGAAGGTAAGTTTTAAAAGCTTGTATTTTGGTAAACTATGTACTATGGATCTACGTTTTGGGTAGTAAAAAAGTGGTTGAGGTAGATGCAGGAATAAATATATTATGGAACGGTTAGGCTACCATCTATTAAAGATTTGATTATTAAAAATAAACTGAAGTTGCTTGGACATGTATGAAGGGTAAATATTTCACCCATTATATTGAAACATAAAGTTTCGTAAAATTTGAAAGGAAAATGCAGGAACCTATGGTAACATGATCAGCAGTTGTTCAGAATGCTTTATGAACAAAGGGAAATGAGAAATGGATTATAAAGGGAAATGATTTAATGCCCCTTGCAACACTTAACAAAGGGAAATGAGAAATGGATTATAAAGTTGACCCGAAATGGTAGAAATAAGGCTAATGATAATTATAGAAGTCCAGTTTTTACGTGGTCTGTGACTCTTTTCTACTGAATAATTTTCTTTTGTACCTGCAGCTGAGTTTCCTTTTTGTCAGTTAACAAGTTTAAAAAAATTGGCTCTTGGATTTTATTCTGATGCTTTCTTTCTGCAATATTTTCCAGTGAAAATACAAAAATTGCTCTCTTATCATGTGCATATATTCATCTGGAACTCAAGGAATTTGCAAAATATTCTGCTAACATTTCATCCTTAAATCCACGCATTCTACTTTCGGGTCCTGCAGGTATGAGACTAATCTTTTATTTTCATTTTGTGTTTATTCTTTTCTAACTTTTCATATTTATCTGAGTAAAAATGTCTGTTGAGCATGTAGGATCTGAAATATATCAAGAAAGTTTGGCAAAGGCACTCGCTAATCACTTTGATGCTAGATTGCTTATAGTAGATTCCTTGATTTTACCGGGTGTAGGTTTTCTCTAATTCTCCCCTTGCAATATTATTTGTGCTTACTCTAATTTTTCCCTTGCAATATTATTTTCCCATATTTCTGTTCAAAACTTATTGATGTATTTTACTGTAGCCCTTCCTCCTGTTTTCTATCTCGCATTTATGCTTGAGCATGACATTATATATGCTAATTTTTTGAAAAGTATGGAATATTAATCTTATAATAGAATATTTTGTCCTGTTACTCAATAGAAATTGATTTCAGGTTTCATCATCAAAGGATTCAGAATCTCTTAAAGAAGGTGGGAGAGGCGAAAAATCGGGTGGTTTTACCAAACAGAGATCTACATTGACTGATACTGTTCATCATAGAAGACCAGCGTCCAGTGTAGAGGCTGATATTGTAGGAACATCTAGTTTAAATTGCCAATCCTTACCAAAGCAAGAGTCCTCAACAGCATCTTCAAAGAACTACACTTTTAAAGAAGGTATCTACCTTTAGAAGGTGTAGTGATGTAATTACATTTTTGTTCCACATACATTTGTAGCCTAGTCTTTTTAGAAGAGATGTCTTTGTTAGTTTTCCATATTTGTATATTATGCCTGATTTAATTGTTTTATTTTCTGTAGTTTCTCCGCTAAATTTTCACCTCAATGATACTCATTTTTTTTGTTGATTGTGTTTTTTTTTTCTAAAGGGGATAGAGTAAAATATGTTGGTCAGATGCTTTCCTCTGGACTGCCTTTTCCATCTCAGAGGTATGGTTTAAGCTTTCAATGTTACTCTTTTTAACTTACAGCCTGATGTACTTGATAATCAACTTTTTACTGTTTAGCTTTTTTTTTATTTTTTTAAAATTCTTCTTGAGTAGCTTCTATATGCATCAGAAATTGAGTTGCAAAAGACTATCTGTCTTTGGTGGGTACTATTATAGCATTGAAAAGGAACCATTATCTTTCAGGAAATTATTAGTTTCGTGTAAATTTTATTTTGGAGTTATGGTGATTGATCATGATAAAAAGGAGCATTATGTATATTTTCAGTTTTCTTTGCTAGACCTTGGTGAACAAACCTTAGTAGAGCATTTTTTTCTAAGAGCATGGTTGGTCCTGCTTTTTATTTGTGGCATTTATTTAAATTTTTCTTCACATTGAAAGCATTCTATATAATCTACTGGGCTAGCCAGATTACTAGTCTTTATAACATTCTGAACTCTTGGAGCTTGAAATCATTTCAATTGCTTGTTTTGGATAATTGCATATTTACACTTTCCTTGAAGGTGTATGCTCTGCTTAATTTTTTGAGATTAATATAAGGAATTCTTTTTTTTATAAAAAAACTTAGGCCTGCATTTTTTTTTGATTTAGTGAAATCTTTTTTTGTTTCATAGTTTGCTTTAAGCTTCCTAAATTTAATATATTGCAGGGGTCCACATCATGGGTTTCGTGGTAAAGTTATGTTAGCATTTGAGGAAAATGGATCATCCAAAGTTGGGGTAAGATTTGACCGGCAGATAGTTGAAGGCAATGATCTTGGGGGTCTTTGTGAAGAGGATCATGGCTTCTTCTGTGGGGGTAATTCTCCAATGGCGTTTGTTTTGCAGTAATTTCTAAAATTTGCTTGCCTAATTTCACGTGTAATTGACATTTCCCTTTTAGCTGACATGCTTCGACTGGACTGCTCTGGAGCTGATGATTCTGAAAGGCTAGCTATCAATGAATTATTGGAGGTAGTTTTTGATGTTGTTTTTTTACCTCAACATTTTTAATGATTTCTTGTTACCAATTCTAATATTTCTTATTTTTTGTCTTCAGGTTGTTACCGAAGAAAGTAAACGCGGGCCTCTGATTGTTTTCTTGAAGGATGTAGAGAAATCTATGGGCAGTAATGTAGAATCCTATCTAACTTTCAAGAGCAAGGCTGAGTCTATTCCTGCAGGAGTCTTGCTGATTGGCTCTAACATACAGATGGATAACCGAAAAGAAAAGGTCCCCGGTTCGCTATTGAATTTTTGCCCTATTGGACGAGCTAGCCCTCACAATTTTTTTTTTTCAGTAATTTGTTTATGAATGCTTTTCTGAGATGTCTGTCTTGCAGTCTCATCCTGGTGGACTTCTTTTCACAAAATTTGGAAGCAGCCAAACGGCCCTGCTTGATTTTGCCTTCCCAGTAATCTCCGGCTTCTTTTTACTTATTTTTCATGCTTTGCTTTTGGTGTCCTTTGTTTATGTTACTATATCAAGTTTAGCTTGTTCATTTTTTATGTTTTTCAACCTGTTTTCGTAACTTGCCTGATCTAAATAAATTTACTTCGTGTTGAGAGTGGTGCGGCTATGTGATTTCTGAGAGAGCAGTGTGAGATGAATTGCAATAGATGCAAGAATACAGACAGGCATTCTAAAAAATCATCATCAATAATTTTTTGTGGCTTTGGAATTGTTACTTAGGCTAACATCAGTACTTCTTATTTCCCCTTTTTTGCATCTATGATTCTTGATAGATGTTGTGTTTCATTATTTTCTTCTCTTTCACTTCTTATTGTTGTTAATGTTGCACCATGTGTCTGGAAAATGGTGCACTGTGTGATGTGATGAAGGGATTAATCTCAACTCATAAGAAGAATATCAAGAGTCAAGTCCAAATAAAGTATAGGAAAATACTAAAATGCAAGCGTAAGTATAGGGAAGCAATTACTATTTTCCTGCATCACTTTTAACAATAGTTCATCTGCAAAATAATTTCTAATGGAAAAAAATTAAATAAACAAGCACATATGCAACAATTACCCAAAACATATTAGAAGTTTAAATAAAAATTACTAGAAAAACTCAAATACCCAATGAAATAACTTTTACTAATAGGTCTATCTTTGTAGTGATATTTCACCACACAATTTGGTCGAATCTATTACAAAAGTAAAAGCTTATGATGAATGAGTTTGACATTCAAACTGAGATATCATGACATGGACATGGAATTTAAATTATAAAAGAGGCATGAATTGCAATAGAATAATTGTATAAGACTGCCACCATATCATCAGGCTAGAATAATATTTCATGGAATGAATAAAATGTCTCATATTTTAAATAATTTACAATAATTACCTATTTTGAGTTACAACACTTCAAACTACATTTCTTTGGGATCCAAAGAAATAACATCAATTGTGTAGTAATTCAAAGGTCTTTCAAAGAATTCAAATATTTGAAACTATTCTAAGTAATCAAATACATGCAACATAAGATCTACTATAACCAAAAAGTAATTATATCAATCCTTTGGTAAAGTCAAAGCCGTAAAAAGGTTTATTTTTAATTTTGTGCAACCTAGTTCACATAATTTACCTAATTATGATGACCAAAATAAATCTAAATCATTGAACTTATAAACATAGAGTACGTAACTAAAATTTTTTTAATTGAAAACCTAAATATAAGATTAACATTTCTAAATTTCTTTAACATAATTAACCCAAAGTAATAAGGAGAGAGAATGGATTTAGTAGCCAACGCTAAAGGAAGACGTAACAAAAATTTGCAAGGAATAAGAGTAATAAATTGATTATAATGAGATTGACTGGAAAGATTGAAGGAGGTGAAAGGGCCGACGATTTACGCTATACTATGTATTGTTGCCTAGGTCATTAGTTAAAGGCGACATACTTAGCCCAAAGTATGTGGAGAGAGAATGGATTTAGTAGTCATTGCTCAAGGAAGACGTAAAAAAAATCTTGCAAGGAGCAGAGGCAATAAATTGATTATAATAAGATTGACAGGAAAGATTGGAGGAGGTGAAAGGGTTGACGATTTAGCCTACACTATGTGTTTCTGCCTAGGTCATTAGTTAAAGGGGACGAAGGAGGCAACAAATGCATAGTGTCCTTTATGATTGCAACTGAAATGGATGCTTAAATCAGTGGATACTTGTACTCCATAAAAGAAATTGAGTTTGAGGGTCTCTGTAGGTTGTAGTTGTGTTGAAGGAATAAGCTGCGATCTCCTACCAAGTTGTGATCTCAGATAAAGAGTGTAGCGGTATACCATGTTGATCAAGGGAAGTAAAAGGTGGTGGGAGGAGTCGAGCATTGCGTGATGTGTTTGTAGGGCTTCGGTTTGGTAGGAACTAGTTAAATATAAGATTAACATTTCTAAATTTCTTTAACATAATTAACCCAAAGTAATGAGGAGAGAGAATGGATTTAGTAGCCAATGCTAAAGGAAGACGTAACAAAAATTTTGCAAGGAATAAGAGTAATAAATTGATTATAATGAGATTGATAGGAAATATTGAAGGAGGTGAGAAGGCCGACGATTTACACTACACTATGTATTGTTGCCTAGGTCATTAGTTAAAGTCGACATACTTAACCCAAAGTAATGATGAGAGAGAATGGATTTAGTAGCCATTGCTCAAGGAAGATGTAAAAATTTTTTTGCAAGGAGTAGGGGCAAAAAATTGATTATAATGAGATTAATAGGAAAGATTGGAGGAGGTGAAAGGGTTGACGATTTAGCCTACACTATGTGTTTCTGCCTAGGTCATTAGTTAAAGGGGACGAAGGAGGCAACAAATGCATAGTGTCCTTTATGATTGCAACTGAAATGGATGCTTAAATCAGTGGATACTTGTACTCCATAAAAGAAATTGAGTTTGAGGGTCTCTGTAGGTTGTAGTTGTGTTGAAGGAATAAGCTGCGATCTCCTACCAAGTTGTGATCTCAGATAAAGAGTGTAGCGGTATACCATGTTGATCAAGGGAAGTAAAAGGTGGTGGGAGGAGTCGAGCATTGCGTGATGTGTTTGTAGGGCTTTGGTTTGGTAGGAACTAGTCTCTAGGCGATTTTGCATGATAGAGTTTGGGTTGATTTGGTTTCAGGCTACTGTTTGCTAAATAGTTTCCCCTTCAGTTAAATTCATACATTAGCTTTAGAGTGATTGTGGGTAATTCATGATCATGTCTTCTCTCTGTTATATTTTTTTCTCTTTTTGACTTGTTCTTCTAGAGAACCCTTTCAGAATGAATGCCCAAATTTATGCTCAAAATTATGCTTTGGTGATAACTTTGATCTTCTTGAATTAACAGTAGCTTGAATTGAATAATATGAGAATTATCATGGATATAGCATTGTTAGAAAGTTATGTAAAAGATATTATTTTCTCATTTTATGTTTTGGAAAAAGAACCAATTGAAAAAAAAAGTTGTGCCAACTCTTTTAATCATCATAAAATGATACATATGGTTGTTTTGAAGCCTATAATTTTTGTCAAGTTTTGTAAATCATCACATAGGAAAAATCTTAAGAATTCATGATCTTTAATGTCAAACTCAATTCTTTTGTAATTAGGATCAGAATATATTTTTTGATGCTTTTAATTTATAAAAATCGCTCTTGACTAGGGTGATGCCAGCCAGATCAATTAATAAAGGTCTTAAGTCCATCTCAGCGATTTAAGATTAACATTATGGGTATTTGTATATCCTGCCATAAGAGCCTCTTATGACGCTTTGCTCATACAAGCCTGAAAGTTACTGTTGTATGCAAACTCCATAAATGAGAGAATATTTTAAACTACCTTCAAAGTTAAGAATGCTGGCTCTCAAATAATCTTTCAAATTTTGAATTGTATGCTCTGATTGACTATCCGTTTGGGGATGGAACACAATTCTGCAATCTATCTTCGTACCCAAAGCCTCTTGCATTTTCTTCTATAGCCTAGAATTAAATTTTCTATCTCAATCATAAACAATGTCAATTGGTATCCCATGTAGTCTATTAATATGGTCCATGTAGATCTTTACTATGTTCTCCATGTAATCACTCTACTTGCTTCAGTGGAAAATGAGCAATCTTCATAAGCCTGTCAACCACCACATAAATTTCATCATGACTATATTTAGATCTAGGCAATTCAATCATAAAATTCATTATAATTTCCTTTTACTTTTGTTATAGAATAGGTAGAAAATGGGTGATCCTTTTGAATATCAATCACTACCTAAATTGTTTCATGGTCTTGTTTAGATCTTGGTAAACCAATTATGAGATCCATTGTAATCTCCTCACTTTCAATTTAGAATAAAAAGTGGCTACGATAGCTCACCAACTTTTCTATTATTAGTTTTGAACATTTGACAAGTCAATCATATGACTATCAATCCCGAAGTATTCTTCTTTATTTTAGATGCCAAAGCTCTTTGTGATTTTCATATATTTCGTGGATAAATAAAATATGAAGTGATGCATTCTTTTCAGAATAATTGCTGTTGAAATCTTGCCTTTTTGGAACACATTGATGACCTATACATCTTAATATACCTATGTAATCATTACTGAACTTAGTTATCATTCCATTTTGAAGTGATTTCTAAGTTGTGTGAAGTCAACATTTTCCATCTAAGCTGCATAGATACAATTTATTATTATTAGTTGAAAAATCATGTGATATATGATAAAATTGCCTCTTAGAAATAACATCTCAAGTTAAAGTCACCGCATCTAATGTATTACTTTTTTTGAGTGGTCATTCGAGTTGCATTAATTGAATATTTTCTGCTCAAAGCATCTGCAAAGTCAGTAGCTTTACCTTAGTGGTATTGAATCTTTAAATCACAACCTTTCATTAACTTAAGCCTTCGCCTTTGTTTCAAGTTTAGTTTCTTTAAGATAAAAATATACTACAAGCTTAATTAGTGAAGATCTATTTGTGAATACCATAAAGGTAATGTTTCCATATCTTGAATGCAAAATTAACTAGGACCAACTCAAATTTTTGAGTAGAAGAATCACTTTTTTTGATAAGAAGTTGTATAGAGACAATCTATTGTTGTGCTATGTTTGCATTAGAGCACAACTTAAAATGGCTTTTCATTCTAATGAGGACAATGAGGGTGAGTGTCTGGCTGTTGAGACGAAGATGTGTGATTCTCTAGCTATTTGGAAACTTTTTAAATGGCTAGTAGCGGCGGTGAATCGTGCAAATCACGTAGAGCATTGCTTGCTGCACTTTGAATAGTGGTTAGGTTTGGCTGGAGTTAGTCATTATGAAATTTCATGTGCAGGGTATGCTTGGTCAGTGGTTGAATTCCTAGTTGACTACAATTAAAGCTTTGTTTTATGTGCTTATTTGCACGATTGTGTGCCATTAATGGTGGAGCAACATTATATTTTACTAGATTTAATGCTTTGGTCTTTAATCAATTTAGTTGCTCTTTCATATTGATTTCTGATGAACTGGTGAGATGGTCTATGGATGTAAGCATTTACTCGGTTGCATTTGAAGGTTCATGAATTTAATTTGAATTGTTTATGGTAGAGTGTGATAAATTAGTGGAGAAAATGGTGTGAGAGACAAGGATTCTTCATATGGTTTTTAAGAATTATCATTTCTTTTAGTTTGTTCTTAAATCATAATTTGGTACTGTACTTTCTACTCTCAAAGAAAAACAAATTATTATAATTTGACATGTACAATTTAAATTAAAGTGAAACCTAAACAAGCGATAAGGAGGTAATCAAATGGTCAAATATAGATAATATATAAATATTATTCGAGTTATCCATTGACACCTTGAAAATGTATTAACTTGATTAAATGACATTATGGGAGGGTTGGTGTATTAATTAAGTCACCTCAGTTGCAATTTGATGTCACGTAGTTCGAGTGTAAGGAACTTGATTTATATGATATAAGATGAAGAATGTCTGCACCAACCCTTCAATACTTGCATTGGCCCAAACTTAAGAATTATTAACATATTATTATGATTTACATTCAATTTCAATTTATTTGAAAGTAATCCTTATTTTCTTATTCCATAATCATTGCAATTTATTTTGTTTTAATTTTAGACTTGCCATATCTCAAACACACTTAAGCAGCACAACTTTTGAAATTAAGAATGAGTGGTTGATTTGGAGAGGAGAATTATGAGTTTTATGTGATAAGAGAATATCATAGTGTTTTAAATGTAAAATTGATTCTTTAATTAATTTTGACTATTTCTTTTTTGATTTGAGTGCGAGGAAAAAAATGTCATTAATTGTCAAGTTGAGCATGATACAAATGAGAGTTTGACAAAGTGGGGAGATGGTCTATGGATGTAAGCATTTACTTGGTTGCATTTGAAGGTTCATGAATTTAATGTGAATTGTTTATGTTAGAGTGTGATAAATTAGTGGAGAAAATGGTGTGAGAGTCGAGGAGTCCTCATATGGTTTTTAAGAATGATCATTTCTTTTTGTTTATTCTTAAATCATAATTTGGTACTGTACTTTCTACTCTTAAAGAATAACAAATTATTTTAATTTGACATGTACAATGTAAATTAAAGTGAAACCTAAACAAGCGATAAGGAGTTAATCAAATGGCCAAATATAGATAATATATAAATATTGTTCGAGTTATCCATTGGCACCTAATTATTATAATTTGACATGTACAATGTAAATTAAAGTGTAACCTAAGCAAGCGACAAGGAGGTAATCAAATGGCCAAATATAGATAATATATAAATATTATTTGAGTTATCCATTAACACCTTGAAAATGTATTCACTTGATTAAATGACATTATGGGAGGGGTTGGTGTACTAATTAAGGCACCCCAGTTGCAATTTGATGTCAACTAGTTCAAGGGTAAGGAACTTGGTTTTTATGATATAAGATGACGAATGTCTGAACCAACCCTTCAATACTTACATTGTCCCAAACTTAAAATTATTAACATATTATTATGATTTACATTCAATTTCAATTTATTTGAAAGTAATCCTTATTTTCTTTTTCTGTAATCATTGCAATTTACTCTGTTTTTATTTTAGAATTGCCGTATCTCGAACACACTTAAGTAGCAAAACTTTTGAAATTAAGAATGAGTGGTTAATTTGGAGAGGAGAGTTATGAGTTTTATGTGACAAGGGAATATCATAGTGTTTTAAATGTAAAATTGATTCTTTAATTAATTTTGACTATTTCTTTTTTGATTTGAGTGTGAGGCAAAAAAATGTCATTAAGTGTTAAGTTGAGCATGATAAAAATGAGATTTTGACAGAAGTGGGGATATATTAGATGTATGAGGGGCTGAACACCTATTGATGATAAGGTAGTGTAGGATTGACTTGTGTGATCTAAACATATACAATGAAGAGTAGAAAGTACACCCATAAAATGTGTAGATAAAATTAGTGACGATGGATTTAAATGGAAAATGTTGGACTTAATGTAACAAGGGTAGAAATTGTGTTGAAGAATTTTGTGTAGAATGTGCTTTGATAGATCATACGACACACAATATGAATGAACGGTGAAAGGGAATTTTTAAAACTGATCACAATTAGTTGGGATGAGACTAATAATAATAATGATGATTATGATGAACTCTCAAACACCCTTGAGCATTGATGATATTATGATCACTATGTACTTTCAGAAGAAGATTTGTGCTTGCCCTTAATAGACATACCAAACATTTGTAATAGAGCTGTCAAAAGTTGCTTGTAGTAATGTTGCTATGGATTTTTAGTGCTCATTGTTTTCATCACTTTGTTTCCCTATTAATTTACTTGGGGTTGTGATTATTTTTATGTAGTGGGTGGAAGAAAGGGATATTCTGAAATGCCCCTTGAAGCTTAGCAATTCAACCTTATTATAATTATTTAAAGCCTCTTTTAATGTTAATCTTGAAGTATTTTTTTACTATGAAGGATAATCTCAGTAGGATGCAAGAAAGAAATAAAGAAATTCCCAAGGCAATGAAGCAGTTGTGCAGGCTCTTTCCAAATAAAGTTACTATTCAGCTTCCGCAGGCAGGACATGCCATCATAACATGCGCTTTCTTTGTTCTTATCCATGAACTTTGCTCCTAATAATTTAAAAAAAAAATGTTTACAGGATGAAGTCCAACTTTTGGATTGGAAGCGACAATTGGATCTTGATGTTGAAACTCTCAAAGCTCAATCCAATAATTCCAGTATCTGTTCAGTAAGCTTTTGCTAGACATTTCTAATATATGATTAATGAAAGCTGTATTTTTATTATTTATTGGGATATTTTCTGTAGAAGCTGCGTTGGCTTTCAAATTTATTCTGCTTTTTTGTTCTTGCTTTTATGGTTTTACTCTTGGAAATTTTTATTTTTTTGATTTCGTATGCCAAATGACGTGTTTTGGCTTAGATTTTGAACTTTTATTGTTATATTAGCAGTGCAAGCTATTTTTATTTTTATTTTTCTGTTTGGCTAAATATTGGGAATCTTTTTATTGGGTTTGATAAGGTTTTCTGAAGTTGTAATGTTTACTCTAAAAAGTTTTAGCAGACTGCAATCTAGCTGCTTTTCATAAATATACTCCATTGTAATTTCAAAATTGCGTGCTAGATTTGCTTCATTCCCCTGCTAGATTTATAATATTCCTTGGAAGGCTTTACATATTTATTCTCTTGGTTTTGGAAACCTTTGCATCAGATTGGATATACTGTAGAGCAATTGATAGCTAATTTCATATAATGCCCGGTCTGGTCTCATGAAAATAGCTTCAACACTATCTTTGTGCACTAATGACCAGCTTCTTTTTGTTATTTATCGTTTTTATTATTTTTGCTGATTTGTTATCCTTTGTCATAAGGAATTTCTTAAATTCCTGCTATGGATGTGGAAGAAAAGCAATTGCCACTGCCATGAATGGAATGTGTGTGCTGTCCCTCCTTCATCTACCGCTGTCAATGGATAATTTATTTGTTGACTTATTCTAGTAAGTGGTAATATGGGTTCAATAAGATAAATCGTGGAAAGGGGACAACTGCTATTCTTAGGCACATTTCAATAGTTGTATTATATACTGAACATGTACAACAGTATGATGCCATGGCTAGGGCTGCAATCGAGCTGAGTTGAGCAGAGTATATTTTAGTTTGAACTTGGCTTGGTACAATTATAAGTTGTTCAGTTCAGCTTGAGCTTGTTTCGATCTTTCCATATTGTTCAAACTTGACTTGTTTAAATTTTTGAATGTTTGAATTTGATTTGTTTATGACAAGTGAACAAGTATTTAAACAAGCTAATAAACGAGCTAAGTTTTCGAACAAGTATCTAAATTATCATATTAAAATATAATAAATAATTTTATAAATCAAACTAAATAAAAATTTGAATAAATCATATAAACAAAAGAACCACCCCACATACTACATCTAATGTCTATAATAGATACATTCTCACAAGAATGAAATCTAAGATTTAAAAAAAAAGAAACAAAAGCAAAAAAAAAAATGACTAGTATTACAAACTAACTTATAATGTGAAACCATTTATCAATTGTAGAAATAATTGAGAAAGTCAAAGGAAAAAAAGATCAAGCATAATAAAAAAGAATGAGCGAATGTGACGTCACCTTTCAAAATTATATCATGTTAATTTTTAAATATTTAACAATTAATAATTTCTTAAATATATAATTAAGAATTAATCAAAAAATAATATTATGATTAAAACTATAATTAAATAACTTTTAGCTAATCAAATCTTATTTAAATAATATTTAATATATGATACGAGCTATATTCGATTTTAATGTCGAATATTTAATAAGTTACTTGTTGAATAACAAACGGTTCGTTCATGAACATAAAAGAATAAGTGCGACTATGTTCATGTTTAGTTCATTAAAGAATCGAGTTTGAAAAAATTATTCGAACTTGTTTATTTACTAATTTGAACAAACATGACCTATTCTTAATTGAGCCGAGTTCGAATTGTTCATCGAGTGCATTGGTCCATTTACAGCCTTAGGCATGACTCATCGACTCAATGATATGAATGGCACGGTGGATAATTTCAGGTAATGTGAAATTGTGAAGAGATATGGGTGGTAACAAAAGAAGCCCCCTTGAACAAAGAAAATACTTTTGAGATTTTTGAACTCAAGGCATATCTTTATGACAGAAGGCCAGGTGATCATTTATGTCACAAAATACTTGATATTCTTATTATAAATTGGCAAAAACTTAATATCCATGAAGATTTAGAATGTAAGCATTTAGAGGATAACCAGTACTATAAGAAAATCAATGAGAAGGAATGAGTCTACACTTTTCTAATTGGAACTCGATGAAATCCTTTAGAGAATCCTAAGTAATAAACCTCTTATTAGCATTCTAGAGGCATTCACGCAAGTCAAGATAGAAGTAAGCAGGAAGAAAGTTATATTAGGAGTCCATTAACTTTGACAAAATTGCTCTCGTAGCTCGCAGTCTTCAAATTTTCCATGACAGTCGTCAAAAAAAAAAAAAAAAAAAATTCTTGGTGTGGACATTACTAGAAGACTAGCACTAAGACATACCAAAGAAACATTTTGGAAAACTGATGTGAAGCGTAATAAATTGAAGCACAATATTGAACACCAGGGTCATTGTGGCAATGCTGTTGCCACAATAGTGACTCTAGAACCTTCAGAACTTAGTTCATTCAGTGAGGAAATTGAGAGGTTCAAAAGTTACTTCAAAAGTCATAAAAAAACACACCTCTAGAAATAGCACATGGCTCATAGCACGAAAGTTAACTTTTGAAACACCTTAAATCTTAAAAACAATTAGACTTCGGTGCACCTGATCACATGATTGAGGATGCATTTATATTATACAAATATAACCTCTTTTGAGGAATATGTTATTGTTTAGACGTTTGATGGCTCTCTAATGCATGTATGGTATTTTTGGAATATTATCATTTCAAAAGATGTATTATGCAAATTTGTTCTTTTTTAACTTAACTGTAAGCGATTTAAGATGTGTTGAAGACTGCCATTGTGAAACTGAGTCAGATAAAGGCTGCCAAGCTGTATTTACCATCATATTTAAGAAAGTTGCCTTCAGGTTATGATATTTTTTAGGTCATCCTCTTCCCTTGTACCTTGAATAACTTTTTCCTGAAAATTTCTATTAAAATTCTAACCTCCTTTATTACGAAATCTATCAATTATTCAAACTTGTTTGAAGGTCATGTACACACCCACCTTACAAAGCTTCATGTCTTTTTTATTCAAATCTTTGTGACATTTTAGGTCCTTCTGGAATCATTAGCATCATTCCATTCCTATTTCATAGCTCAGTGCAATACGATGCAACAAAAATGGTGTATATCAGTCATCGTATAATGTGGGTTCAATATATATCACCGACATGAAAATTAATCATATATTACCCGTTTCATGAAATAAACCATGCCAACGCATTCAAAATATCAAAATCATGAAGAACACCTCTAGTTGATTCGGTCAAATGCAATAAAAATTATAAAAGATAGATACGATACATTGCATATTTTATTTACAATGCAGTCCATGTTTGAAATCACTCTATAATACTTTTTTTGTTAAATGTAGTGGACCAATTCATTTTGAGTATCGAAATTATCAAGAATTTGCTCTCCCAATCGATTCGTTTGAACGCAAAAAAACCGTAGATGACAAACGTTATGTTTCGCTAAATCATTTCAAAACTTGTTACATACATCAAAAGTATCCAAACTTGTTCATTTTGCACTCGACGCTTGTCTTTCTTATGCTCATAGGGCATTTGCCTGCTCGTGGTTGTCAGTCAGTTTTTTAATAGCGTTTCTTAAGTTTAATTTAATATGTATATAATTTTGTTTTTTTTAAATATTATTTTTGATTTTTGAAAAAAAATGAGATTGCAAAGATTTCATATATTTAATAGTTTAAGTAATCGAGCGCAACTCTACAAACAATACATTCATCCTGAAAGATAAGCACATTACTTGAAAAGGGGGGCTCAATTATATAAACTAAAAAATTTTTGAGATCCATATGGTCTGTGAACTTTTTATGTGTGGCTGACAAGTTCTCATACCTAATACAAAGATTAGAAATGATTTATTTTTACTTTGGTTTCAAGTTTCCTATAAGGACAAACTTTTATAGTTAATTAATCCCAAAAGATCAAGATCACTTGAGAAAACTCTCAATAATGATTAGAGGTACTACTCTTCAAGAATTCAAAGTTTAGGTTTTCACGGTAGGACGCAAAAAATCAAGTGGGAAATGCCCAAATATGAGCAATTATTTCAGGAACTCAAAGGAAGGAAAAGATGGGAGACACATAGATTTTGAGAACTCTCTATGACTTCCCAAACTATCCTACTGTTTGGCTGCGTTTTGGAGGCGGTGTTATTTAAATGTTCAAATCTGACAATTTTATTATTTGAGACTTACACTTGCATAATATCCAATTATGCAAATAGTCGTGGAGATAGGAGGGTTTATGTTGTACCGAACGACAACCTTAGAACCTAAGAAAATTTAGGATTTACGCTGCACAGCGTGGCTATGCAGGGGCCTAAAGAGTATGTGAGGATTTACGTTGGGTTGAGCGAGCTTCCTTGAAGTTCTATGGGTTGTTGCGTAATGCTAAAGAATGATTTAGTTGGAGTAGATCTATTTATGTGCCGAGTCTCTTGAAATTGTTCTGCACTTACCGAGTCTCTTGAAATTGTTCTGCACTTACCTCTTTGTTGTGCTGCCTACCAAGCTTTCTTCGAGCTCCGTAACGCAACGACTCCGGGTTTAGGGTTTTATGTGCGAGCATGCATGTTTGTTTGGTCGGTGGCCCGCTCTAGCATATCTCCTAAACAACTAACCTACTGTTCTGTATGAAAATGCAGTGGAAAATACAATAAAGAAAAATAGTAAGAGGTGCAGTAAAGACGGTAAAATACGATAAATATAAAATAAACTTGCGTACCTGTTGTGTCAGCTGTGCTGCAAAAGGTGTCAGTATTACAGATAGAAGTAAACAAATATTGCAGAGAATTTAGCTAGCATGACGAACATCTGTATATATATGTTAGTAAAAGAACAGACGACCTATGTATATGAAAGATCGAAGTGGGCCGTAAGAATCCAAGCTCGGGGTGGGTTAGGAGCTAGGTTGTGTGCTTTATAATCTTACTTTGGATAGAAGCTACCAGCC